AAGGCGGTGTGAAGACACCGGAGGGGCAGGGCAGGGGCCATGCGACCGCAGAGGCAGAGCCAGGCTGAGGGCTGCCAGCCACCTCGGAAGCCGGGAGAGGCCGGAAGGGCCCCTCCCCGGAGGCTGCGGACCCGCCGACATCTGGGTCTCTGACTCCGGCCTCCCGTCCGGCGAGGGTGAATTTCTGCTGTTAGAAGCCGTACAGTTTGCAGTCCTTTGTCACAGCGGCTTTAGGGAACGGATACTGTCCCATACTTTTGCTTTTGTTTTGTGTTACACGTAGGCTCGTGGACATTAAGCGGGTACCTTACCAATGAACCGCGGGGCACTGTCATTCCTGGCTGTTCCGCCTGCTTTTGTGTCTGACGCAGCCCTGTTGGCTCTTATCAGGACCCCAAGATCAGTGTGGGGTGAATAGCACGTTTCTAGCAAAACCAGGGCGCGTCTCGGCAGTGACAGCACAGGACAGGTGTCCACCTCAGGGCGGACACGTTCTTGAATATTGCAGGTGTTCCCAGGTGGGCGGCGGCCTGCATCCACCCGAGATTCCGAGATTCCGGCCGCCGGAATCTGTGTCCTCTGTTTGTTATCTACCTGAGTCATATGCAAATAACCATAAACGAATGCTCTGGATGAGAGTCCCTGAGCAATAGGATTTGGCACAGACATGAGTCCAAAGACTTAGTCTGGAAACAACAAAACCCCACACAGCTGTGACGGGAGTCCTTTCCAGGGCCCCTAAAGCAGAGACAGGGCATCGGTGGCATTAGCAATGACCGCTTGGTGAAGGGGCGGTCAGTCCGTCTGTCCCTCAGGGAAGCTATACTTCCTCTAAGTAACTAATAGGGGGTCTGTGGGGATTACGGGCCATGCTGTTCCTCCAACCTCCTCAACGATGTGTGTCCACTGCGGCTTCTGGCTTGAAGTAGTGGTCCTGAGGGTCATGAACGGCGGTGTGCCAGCGCGGGCCCTGCTGCTCTACTTAGCGGCTGGCATTACACTTGGTGGGGAGGGGGCTTCCTTTCTCCCCCATGTGCATTCAGTTATTTATGGCAGTGTGCACTCATCAGATGCTCAGTTTAGCCAATGGGCTATAATCCATACTTGTATCATTTCTCTTTTTTTTTTGAGAACATGTGCATGTGAGCATGTGCATGTGAGCGGGGGGGGGGGCAGAAAGAGAGAGAGAGAGAGAGAGGTTGACTCTCAAGCAGGCTCCATGCTGAGCATGGAGGGACTCAACATCATGACCCTGGAATCGTAACTTGAGCCGAAATCAAGGGTTGGACGCTCAACCAACTGAGCCACCTGGGCGCCCCCTGTATCATTTACTTTAAATCTCAAATCACTCCAGATTTAGCCAGTGAGGGCCCCTTCATTTTTAAACACTTCCTTATTTTCCGGTACAAAATAGTCCAGGCTCATCTGACTTGCCCCAGTCCTGACAGCAGCCCGGTCTCCAAGGACGCCTGGCCCCCTCGGCGGGAAACGGCATGTAGAAGCCAAGATTCAGCACCGGGTGTGCTCAGTGTTGCTGAGCTGATGCTGTTCCCAGGGCCTCTCAGCAGGCAGGCACGGGGCATGTGGCACACACAGGACATAGACAGTCCTCGCCTCGCACAGGCGGCACACAACACACACACGCCACAGCACACAACACACACGCACACACACACATACACACAAACACACGTACCTATTGCTGTGCCCCCCCCCCATCTTCTCCCCAGTCCTTCCTGACAACTTTGCTTCCAGGCCAGCACCAGCTGATCCCTTCAGCCCCTCCCTCCTCCACACACATTGGTAGCTCTTTCGCCACCAGTGAGGAGCTGTCTCCCTTCTGCGGTATTCCTGACAAAAACAGCATTAACTGAACGCGATCATGAAGAAGTACCAGACACCCCAAACAAGCATCAGTCTATAAAATAAATGGCTTGTACTCCTGAAAAATATCAAGGTCATGAAGGATGAAGGAAGGTCAAGAAACAGATTGAGGTTAAAGCCACAGCACAACTGAACACCACTGGTTCTGGATGGGACCCTGTACCAGGGGAATCTAGAGAAGATACTGTGGGAAGTCTGATACAATTTTTGGACATGGACTGTGGACTAGTTAATGGCATCACACCCACGTTAAGTTTCTTGATTTTGATCTTCATGCCCAGTTACATGACAAGGTCTTATTCACAGGAAGTACACACCGACAGATTTAGATATAAAAAGGCATAATGTCTGCAAATTACTCTGAAATGATTCAGGAAAAAAATGTGTGTGTGCACATACATCCATCTACACATCTACACACACATACAAACAAAAACACACAGGGAGGGGGAAGGGAAGGAGAAGCAAATGAGGCAAAATCCGAAGATAGGTCTGCTAGCTGAGCCCTGGCCCCCAGCTGGACTGCTGCATTTCAGCAGTACTTCGCCCGAGGCTCACTCTGCTCAAGACCCTCAAGACCCAATGTCCCAGGGGCGCCTGGGGGGCTCAGTTGAGCGTCCCACTTCGGCTTAGGTCATGATCTTGCGGTTCGTGGGTTCGAGCCCCGTGTCGGGCTCTGTGCTGACAGCTCAGAGCCTGGAGCTGCTTTGGATCCTGTGTCTCCCTCTCTCTATGCCCCTCCCCTGCAACTCATGCTCTGTCTCTCAAAAATAAATAAACATTAAAAAATGATAATAATAAAAGACTGAATGTCCCAGGAGAGAGACCAGTAGCCCGTCCTGGGTCCTATCCTGTGTCCTGGGGGACATGGGCTGGATGGGAACAGGGCCTCAAAGGGCTCCACTGGCCACCCTAACGGGCCTGGAAGCCTGAGACTTACCCACCTACTGAGACAGGGGAACTAGAGGGACCCCATAAAAACTGCTTTTTTCAGTCTTTTTCTGGTTTCTATTTTTTTTTGCTAAGACCTACACCCCCGCCTTACACATCTGTTACAGAACGGATACTATATCTCCTCCTCGAGAAGGTCAAGGAGTTAATGATTTCTTTGGAGTCTTCTTCCAGCACAGCAGATAACATCTAAGGTGTGACTGGGTGGGGTCATGAACGTCATGAACGCTTTTACAAGACTATTGACTCACCTAGATCCCTGGCCCCCGGGCATCAGTGACTTGTGGGTGACACCTAAGCACCACCTGTGTCTTTGTCCTGGATTATGAGAAGACGCAGGCACCAGACCACCACGAATACAAACCCCAGGCCCCAAGCAAACAGGAGAGTCCCTCCTCTTTCCTTTCCGAGTCTCCCAAACGCTCTGTGTCCACACTTTCTCTCTATTTTTTTTTTTAATGTTTTATTTATTTCTAGGAGAGAGAGAGACACAGCGTGAGCAGGGGAGGGTCAGAGAGAGAGGGAGTCACAGACTGAAACAGGTTCCAGGCTCTGAGCTGGCAGTCAGCACAGGGCCCGACGCGGGGCTCGAACCCACGAACCGTGAGATCATGACCTAAGCGAAAGTCGGACGCTGAACCGACTGAGCCACCCAGGCGCCCCAAGGAGAGGTTCAACTTTTGAAGGTCAAAGAGCATGTCTGAGGCAGAGATGGAGCAGACACTTTATACCTTTGCCTCCCCTGGGGGATGCGGATTCTCGGGCTCCACTCCAGGCCTCCCGAGTCAGCAGTGCACTTTAGCAAGTTCCCGGGGTGCCTCACCTGCTAAAGAGTGAGGGGCTCTGCTCTACCCCTGCCTCAACCTGAAGAAAGAAAAACACTTGTGACATCCAGGAGTTCTTTGTAATATTCTTATAATTTTCTTCTGGGAGTTTAAAAACGATGCCAAAACAGAGTCACAAAACAGACAAAGAAATGGAAGACAAGCACCCAGGGGATGAAGAGTGTCTAAAGGCTTGTGGTGGGGTTACTGGTAAGAAATGAGCTGACACGGGGACCGCTCTGGAAGGAGGCAGATGTCTGCAGTCACACCTGAGGCCCCGTGGGTGCCCACCAACCGGCAGGGGCCCGAGAAGCTGGGAAGGGTGTGACGGCCACCAGTGGGCCGTTGCGGCAGAGAAGAAGGGTCCAGAATACAGCACTATGGCATAAGAACTATTCTGAGGAGACGACATTTGAGTTCTGGAAATCTCTTACCTGCCTAAAAGCACAGCCACCTAGGACAACTCAACTGTCATAAAACCCTCCCTGGGCACAAACAGGGGAGATGACCCTTCTTACTGGACATGAGAAGTAGCCACAGCACGCTTGAAGAGGTGGGGCCGCAACACCATTGTTGTCTTCCCCCTATTCCCGTAAGGGCCCATTTCACCTTTCCAGAAAGTCATTTGTTTTCCCCACACATGCCTTCTCTTCTTCCTCTTCCTTTATTAAGATGGCAAATAAGCCCTTTGGAGTCCCAGCTCTCTGCAACCTCCCATATACATGTGATCACATTCGTCTTTTGTAGTTTAATTTGCATGCCTCCTGAGAAAGAACCTAAGAGGGTAGAGGAAAACTTGTTCCTTCCCAATAGAGATCAGCAGGGAAGAGAAACCTTTGAGAGGGTGGGCTGGAGGATGGAGAGCCTGGCTCTAGACTGCCCTCACCCTCTTCTTCCTCCAAGGAGCGTGGGGCTCCTGAACCCACCATGAGGACTGTCAGAGCACGTAAGGAGAGGCTGTTCTCAGGACAGATCTGCATCTAACCTGTTTACGTTTCATTTCCTCCCAGCCGGTTCTGCCCCAGCTAAGCCGCTCTCTGAGTTCCGAGTTAACATACTGAGTTCACCCTTAGAGTCCCGCCGGTAGCCAGCGGCCATTTTCCTGTGGAGACTGTGGTTATTACAGAAAGTTCTGACGACGGTGAGAGAGTCCAAACAGTCTCTGGCACCCCCGGAACCAAAGATGGACGACGGGTTAGCAACAGCCCTGGTCACAGCTCCCACCGCTGACGGGCCATTCGACAGTCGCAGGGAGGCCAGCACCCCGCCCCCCCGCCCACCCGTGCCCTTCCTAATGCCACCAGTCATGCGGTGTCACCCGCACAGCGCACCAGCACTCACCACTGGTCCCGGGAGAAGGAGATGATGAAGCGAATGCCGGCAGGGAGCGGAGCCATTTACGTCGCGCTGACCACGGGGCTCTGGTCACAAGACAGACAGGGTGCTTCATAAACAGGTCACTGGCCTGGCTCCCAGCGTTTCCCTCTGGCCCCGCGGCTCTCGGGGTCTGGAAGTGCGTCGAGGTGTCCTGCTGGGTCCCGGCTGCCCGCCTCGTCCGTCCGGCAGAGGCCCGGCTCTCTACAAGGGGAAGGAGGAGTTGAAGGGTGGGCGGTGCTGACCGGGGCACTAGAGGGGTCCCCGGCTGAAGGAACACCCCGTACGGTTGCCGGCCGGCCCACGGCAACGCGGGATGTCCGCACGACAGGGGGCTCCCACCACGAGTGCTACGAGGCGGGCGCAAGCCCTCGGGGACGGCTGGCTCAAAGATCACAGAAGTGACTCTCCCCGGATGGTCTGATGATGAGGAACAAGGCGGCCAGGGCTCGTCTCCACATGGGAGCCATCTACGGATCAACCCCCCGCACGCTTAACCACGGTACTATTCAGAGCCGATGTGGACCTTCCCACAAAGCCCGTGTGTGCCCAGTGCCTACTCCGTGTGCTCAACTACCAGAGCGTGCCAGGGCCCTGGACGCGCTCGATGCTACCCACTGTGCACCAGGCCACGTCTGAGCCACACTACCAGAGAGGGACGCAGGCCTGGACAGACCCATCACGAACTGTGGCCTTGCAATTGAATGGAAATGCATCTAACGCCATGGGAAGGAACTCGACTGGATCTGCCTCTCCGTTTCTCATCTCCTGCAGCCACCTCAGGGCCCCCAGCACACCAGGGAGGCCTGTCCCCTGTCCCAAAGCCAACCTCATGACTTGTGGCATTTTCCAGTCTATCCCCTGCTTGCCAACAAGGAGTCCTTTGGCCCAACGCATTAAATGACACCGTCCATGGTGCGTGTAGGACCATGGCTTGTTCTATCTTATTACTTAGCCAAAAATTCACCGGTTATATAATTTTTCAAAGAAAGCTACTATGAGTAAACATTAATCTCAATCTAAAGTGGCTGAAATTTATTTAACACCTTCAAGCGACTTCCTTTACTTAACAGACAAGCAAAGCAAATAGTACAGAGGCGGAGCACTCCAAGGAAGTCAGTGCCTGGGCCCCCCCTCGTTCATTCCAGCCCTCCCTCCTCCCCCCACAACCTTCTTCAAGGATCTCCCTGCATGACCTCCGCAAAAAATTCAAATTCCTTGCTGCATTTTCATCCCAGAAGCCCCAACCCTGGCCCCTCCATCTCTCTCTCGGGGAGGCAGTGGAGAGGCGTGCGATCTCCAGCCAGAACTAGACCCCAGCTTCCGCCAGCCTGCTGCACCCCCACTCCCCCGGGGCTGGGTGATCCTCGGCACCACTCAAGTTGTCTGCTCCCTTATCCTCGGCACCACTCAAGTTGTCTGCTCCCTTGCGGCCCCCCGCTAAAAGACAGGGACAGTGGCACCTATATTCTAGGGTCGTTATGAAGGGGACAGGAGATGAGCCACGGAAAGCCCTGCGCACAGGGCCTGGTGCAGAAGATGTTCAGTAAATAGCAGCCGGTGTTCTTGTGAATCCGGATGAGGGAGACCAGGACGCAGGGGGCCACCTCCCCCCCTCCTGTGACTGAGGTTTAGAACTCAGCACACAGCCGGTGCCCAAGAGATGTGTTAAATGAATCTCTACAAATGTTTCAAAAATGTTTTTGCTCAAAATCTGGATTTACAAAATATTTTCCTGAAACTCTGTGCAAGATGAGTGCGCCTCTGCTTGAGCCCAAATCTGTTTCGAGAGCCGATTTTGGGACGATGAGCTCCTGGTGAAGGGTTTGATTTAAATTTTACAGTGCCTGCAGACGGGTGGTCAGAGTCCAATCGCTCCCTCTGTCCAAACATCGCTTCTCCCAGGCGCGGCCTGTCTAGGAATATTCTAGTGCCCTCCGAATCAATCAATCAGTCCACCTCAATTCTGGTAAAACCTGTCATTTCAAAAAAAAAAAAAATCCAGACGGCACTGGAAAACAGCAGGGGAAGAAAAATGTCCATTTCTTTTTAAAACACCTGCGGGTTCTTCCCCTGTAAAATGGGTGAAAGCCAAGTTCAAGTGCTATAATTCTCATAGCGAGAGCAGTTAAGCAGCCTAAAGGGGGTGATTTTACACGCGGGATGTTACGAGGTCAATTAATGAGGCTCCTTCATCTGGAGCCCGGGCTGTGCCCACTGGGAAGCACTCCGGGGAGAGCTGGCCGAGCCCTCTGGGGTCCCCGGTGAGGACTCCGGTAACCACGGTGAGGCAAGCGCTCCCTTCTACGGAGCACAGCAGAACAGGCCGCTCGCCGGTGCCCTGGACACTGGGCAAATTCAGGTCCAGGTGCTTTCAGCCCGACCCCTCCTACTTCACTTCCCCCAGGCCGGCCCGTCCAGAGAGCACAGGAGGCAGAGCACTTGCTTGACACCCTGTGTTTGGCATGCAGCCCAATCACATAAAAAGGAGACCACGCTCCCCCCACCCCCCGGTCGTTCTTTACAGGCGCCCCTAGAGCTCCATGTTGGGGACAGAAGTCAGATATCCAGTGTCATTCCATCATCAAGGACAACAGCTTCAGGACCCCCTTCCCCCCAACAGCTCCGCGAAAATCTGTCACGGGCACATGTTTACACCCACCTTCTGGAAGAGCCCAGCCCAGCCAGCCAGGAGAGGAGCGACCTGAGGGGACGCCCAGGCGCTCAGTGCGCCCTGTCCAGGCACAAGCAAGGAGGCTGAAAGGGGCTCATGGGAAGAGTACCCGGAAAGGGTCCTTCCAGAAGTGAGCGAGGCTGTAAACAACAAAGATTCGGGGAAGTGCATGCCCCTCCCCTAAAAAAAAGTTTTTTCTATTTTCTTGGGAGAGAGAGAGGAGGGGAGGGGAGAGAACAAATACAGCTTCCTTCCCAGAGAAAATACTTTCCGGGGTCTGGACTTTGAAGGCTCCATTCCACATGAGAGATGGATGACCTTGGCCACTACGCCTTCCCCGTGGGTTAGAGGCGGGAAGGACTCCTCCGCCTGCGGCACTGTCCTGGTCCACGGGGCAGAAACTTCCAGACTACCCGGGGAGCCGCCGGAGGTCCCAGCCGGGCCGCAGGGACGGGGCGGCGCGGCCCGGGGGAGAATCCAGCACAGTCACCCCGAGGCTGCGAGCCGGGGCACCGGGAGAGGCCGGCCTCACAGCTCCCCCTTCAGAAATTCGAACCTGGGGGCGGGGCGCAGGGCCTTCCAGGGTCCTCCGTTCACACGCAGATCCGGCCGGGGCGCCGGGGCGCCGGGTCGCCGGTCCCGCCGCGCGGCTGCTGCGGCGGGGAGGGCAGGAAGGTGGGGGAAGCGGGGAGAAGAGCCCGATGGGTGGCGGTCGGCAGGTGGGGCCCTCCCGGCGCTCCCCTCTCGACCCACGAGGACGCTGTCCCTCGCGGGCCCCGGGGACCAGGGGCTCCGCTCACGAGCAGCCGCGAGGCCCAGGGCGCCGGCTCCTCCCCGGCGGCCGCTCCCGGGGGAGGCGGAGGCGGATCGGCGGCACGCCCACGTCCCCGGCGCGGCGGACACTGCGCGGGGCTCCTCCCGCGGGGTCCCCGGACCCCCGCCGCCACCGCGGCCGCGGCAGGGTGGGGAGGGGGGCCGCTCGGGTCCCTCCGGAGGCGCGGAGAGAGTCGGGACTCCCGGGCCCAGGCCAAGGCCAAGCACAAAGGCCGGGGGTGGGGGGCGCCGGGACCGGCCCCGCCGCGGCAGGTGCCGAGCGGCCGCGAAGCCCGAGGCCAGCGGCCCCGCGGGTGCAGGCGGTGGGGAGCGACCCCGCGCCGCTGCCCCCGCCCCGCCCTGTCCCCGGGCCTCACCTGCGCCGCGGCCCGAGCCGGCCGCCGCGGGCGCTTCCTGCTCGCGACTTCCTGGGGCGGCGCGCGGAGGCCCCGCCGGCCCCGCCGCCCCTTTCACTTTCCTGCGGGCCGCGGGGCGCCGGGGCCCGGGCGGCGGCGGGTGGCTCGGCCCTCCCCCTCCGGCTCATCCCCTCCTCCGATCCTCCCCGCCCTCCAGCGGTCCTCCCCACCAGCCCCCCCCCCCGCCCCGACCCCGGGGCGCGCCCAGGGCCCCAAACAGCCCCGGGGGCGCCCCCACGCGAGCGAGCGGCGCTGCCGGGCCGCGGGCTGCCGGGCCCCCAGGCCATCCCCCTGGCGGGGATCTTGGCGGCCGTAGTTGCACCTGCCGGCAGGCTCACGCGCATTTACTGGCTTGCTCTCCACTGGCCTGGGCCCTTAGTCCTCAAGGTGGGTCTCACCGACCAGCAGCAAAGAGACAAAGCGACGCGTCCCCCGGGAAGGCCCGGCGCTAAAAAGGGCGTGCCTTGGACTACTGGCCTTTATTCCTATTGCCCCTTCTCGAGGGTCAGAATCATGCACGTAGCATTGTATTAAGTGAAAATGGGGCCCGCGGAGAGGCTCTTTTGAGCCTTCTTTGATGACGCCTGTGAGCCCACTACCCGCAGCTCTCAGGGTTAGATGGGACAAGCCCAGCCTGGCTGGTCACCTGCATCCATCACACCTGCTGCTGTCCTCAGACGAGGTCCCCATGCACCCCACAATTGTCCTCTGCACCCGGCTCTCACGGCTGGCCCACAGCTGCCTTTGGGCGGCCCCGGAGGGCCCAGTGACATCCCTACAGAGCCCACAGCAGGCGCAGAGCATCCAAGCCTGCTCCCCGAGGAGCAGAGTGCAGGAGAAAACACCTTCCGCAGATGAAATTCCAGGAGGTGGCTGCCCCGCCCCCACCCGTTAAAATGAAACAAAGCTTAGCTGAAAGCACTCCAAGGCCCCAGGTCGCAGAGACCGGGCGGGGCTGGGCCTCCGCCACCTGCCCCGCCCAACAGCCCCCTCAGGCCAGCCTGGAGGAGGTTTCCGCCTCCCCTGCCAGGCCGACGTTTCCCCTGGGGCCCTGTTCTGTTTCTAGAACACTGTCATCCTTTTCTGTTGGCTGAGTTGACTTGTGTCCAACGCACCACTTACTTGGCTTTTAAGGGGGTTCTCCACGCAGAAGGGGAACCCGGCAGCCGCAGGTGGCCCCGGGGGTTCGCCACAGGACCTCTGCTGGGCCCCCTCACAGGACACTGAGGTGGCCCCAGGCCCCTCAACTTGTCTCCCTTTGGCAGGACCTCTGTCTGCCAGTCCTTCTCCCTTTCCGGACT